GACAGAGGGAATTTTCTTGTAGCCTCCCTCAATTGAACATCAATTATCTAGGTGACTGTGACTGCAGCTACTAGACTTCATGGCCCAGATGGTCTATTCCAATCCCATAAACTCATTTTGTAGTCTCCATAAAAAAAATACTAAATATCTTATATATGAAAAATTCTATCAAATATTCATGAAGTTAAATCATCTTGAAAAATTTTATTTTTTTAACATCTAACAGGTGTGGCAGTTGCATTTTTGGTTAATTTTCTTCACTACTAAGCACTAAAATAGCTGAAAAATGTTTGAAATTTTGAAACTATAATATAATTTACTAAAAATGTGTTGAGACTGAACTCCAGATCTTGAAGTATTCTTTCACACCTCTTCCTAAACCTTCCCTGCTCCACTTACGTCCTTAGATAAATTATACTTCCAGCCAAATTTACTGATTGAAACGACATCTAAGCTTTACTAATTATGTCAAATTTCACAGGCAACTAGAATCAGAACATTGTGCTGTTTTGCAGCTGCTTTCTGAACTCTTCGTTACAAGAAAATACATCCCCCAGCTTTTTTTTTCCCCCAAATAAAGTACACTGAAGAAAGTAATGTCTTTTCTATATCTATAAACAGAACAAATTCCAGTTACTTAAACAGAAGAGAAGCCATGCTAAATCTATGTGGTCTTATCTGTTGCCATAAAGCTTACAAAAGAAATTATATAAACTTCCATTAAGAACCACTGTTGGGAGGAAAAACTGGATGCTGCAACATCAATGGAGTGACGAGACCCAAGCTGACTTACTAGGTTTGGATAAGTCTGAACAATTCTGCAAAATACCACCATGGGATTTGATAATACAGCGTTTTAAAAATCTAATCTGTGTAAATGACTGTGAGGTTGTTGTCATTTCTCTAACTTAAAATTTTGAGTTAAAAGGGCATCTGGTCATAAAGTTAGTAATTACTTAGTTGTCCTCTTAGAATTTACAAATAGAAAGGAATTACTTCTCACCAAAAAGGGCCCATTTTTATACAGCAATCAGCAAATCAAACAACTAACAACTCCCTGAACCACTGAGGGGTAGAAAAGGAAAGTTCAGAGCATCTTTACAGCCCACTGAGATTAGACTCTTCTTTCTGAGATTTTAATCCAGAAGAGATACAGAAATATAGTAGCCTTCATGGAATCAGTCATTTACATTTGCAAGAATGCACTGTTCTGAAACCAGAGCTGACACTTGTTTTCAAGATCTTCACTAATGGTAATATAAATGAAAGCAGCTCATTCACATTCAAGTTTGGTATAAATATATATATAGTAAATAAACTGTTAGCTTCATTAAGGAACAATGATACAGAAAGCATTCCATTAAAGCTTACCTTGTTAGCACAGGCGTATCAAACAGCATCTCTAAAGTTATGATTTTGGTAATTGAAAATTTTGCCATCAACTAAATAGTTACATAAGCTGCAACATTTAGTTCACTGAAATATAGCTTACGTTCTGCCATGACTCTTGCAAAACAAAATGCATACACCGCAGGTTGCACGCTGCCATATCATTAATAGCATTCTTCCATAAGGCTGGTCAACTTTCTTGTACAACTGACACATCAGTGAGCATTCTCGATTCAATTCAGCAAAAAGAGCACAGGCTCTGACTCCCACTCAGTACAAATTGCCAGATAAACACCGTCCTTACAACTCTGGAGTTCCATGGCTTTAACACAGTTATACTCTTCTTCCCCCTGTTATTTCCTTTATACTTTAGGAAAAGATGCAACTAGTGCAACCAGTGTTCAAATTATATAGAAAGCAGATTTATACTTAAAGAACACTGCTTCATAATATATCAACTTATGGTCACATGTAACAATTCTCTCACCACTTCCCCCATGCATACAGGATACAGTCCAAGAGTTAGCTATTATAACCAGACAATGACTTATTATTATTAGTATGCACGCTGACCATTTGAATGTGGTCATTTAATTAACGGTCATTAACATTTGAATGTTTGTTCCTTTAGACAAGTTAATGTATTGGATTATTACATAAAACAAAACACACACAATCTTGCCAAAGAGAATGGGGTGAAATTAATTCCTTGATTTTTTAAAGACTCCTATGCATTACCTGCGTACACGTTCGACATCTGGATCAGACCGCAGATATTTTTTAGCACTCTCGCCTTTACCAAATGATGCTGTATCTTCTGGATTAGCAAATGCCTATTTCAAACATAAACACACAAGAGACATTAGAAGCCAGAATTATTTTTTTTCCCCTAGTCAAGGCAGCTTGCTGTAAAGGTCACTCTTTTTACTAATGTCTCTATAACTCCACATAGCTTACCTGAAGTTAAATGTAAAGGGAATAATATATTGCTCACTGCACTGTTTTCTTGAGCCCAGCCTGTACATAGCTTGCATGCTGGCAAATTAATGTAATGTAATTTATGCATGTAGATAAAGTCTTCCTGTAAGATGGACAAGCATAGCAGATGACTGATACTCAGCCTGAAGTAATACCAGTGGGCTGAAGGAACATGCAAATCTGGAAGGAAGAACTACTGTCTGTACTGCCAAAGTCTCTTTTTCACTGTTCTTGACAAATTATTTGAAAGTCCTTTTGGAGCCCCTCCTTCTTCAGAAGTCTACACAGCAATAGCAGCCAAGAGACTCATCCCATCCTCATTTATGACCACGTAAGTTTCACCCCTTCCTCTTAGGTACAAATTTTTGCACTCATATGACCCATTATTACCTCCAAATACTGTAAGCCACTACTTGAAAACACCACTTAATTCAGTTAGTGCAGACTGCAGTAGATCTCTCTGTGCTGACACACATGGTAACACGCATTCTGAAGACTGTTCAGGCTATGCAGTCTTAAGTCAAGGATAGGTTTTTATTTTAGGAGAGATACATGATTGTTTTCTGAGGCAGCCTTGATCCCTTTCTGTGAAATATCCTTGGCCAAAAAATTCTGGAGACATGTTAACAGCATCAGCAGCATTTTACCTTCTCTTACTCCACTAACTGCTTTCCTCCATTTTTATTTAACATTTTAAAGACTTATTTATATTAAATAGGAAATAAGAATGACTTTACTAATTCGTCTGTTTGCAATATTACTGTCCACATAAAACCAAACTCTAAATTAACGAAGGCCCTACTGTCACCTGCATAGATACAGATTATAATATGGTATGAGCATTAATATAGGACTCTATTGGATCTACATATAGGACTGATACAGCTGACGCACTTCCATGAGAGCAAAAGGAAGTAAGGTTACAACACAGACAGACATCTGAGTCCTATTTTGAATATACAAGACAGGCTGTGTGCTCTACTACACTCAATCTGCAGCTGTGCCAAAGACGTAGAGAGCTACCAGAAACCACCAGTAGCTCAAATGCTGTGCTATTAGGACTTCATGAACAACAGAACAGTTCAGCTGCACCCAGCAGGAACAAAAAGCAGCATTTCAACAAAAGGACTGCAAGAAAACCCTTGAAGCGCACATCATCCTGCAGAAGCTGGTCTCACAAGAACAGCCAAGGCTCCGTCAGCTCAGGACCAAGTGTTTCCAACCGTGGCCACAGGCAGATACCTAAAGAAGACCAAGAACAGGGCAAGCACAACACAATGCTGCCCATGAGACCCTCTCCTAAGCTAGGTGCAGGTTCTGTATTATTCAGTAAACCTCAGTGGATCTTTCATATACTTATCTAGCCTACACATCAATGCATGTAAATTTCCAGCCTGCCTCTCATTCTAGAGAAAAAATAAATTTTGTTTAAATAATGATACACCTGCAACGAGACAGCTAAAACAATTAGTGAATGTAAAGAGCTTTAGGATTACTGGATGAAAGGGTTACAAATGCATAAAAATCCACCTCATATCCCCAACTGACCCTACTAGTTGGTTATTCATGCAACATGGCTCCATATCACACTTTATTTGCTTTATAAATTGGGTACCCTGCACACCAGCTTTTTGCAGAAAACAGTGGAAATTACAGTCATGAAAAACTTATTTAAAAATAATAGAAATTATTCAGAAGAGAGTAGAGCAACTCAAGTGCAACTGTAATATAGTCTCATAATTACCTCATAATTAGGTTAAAGACATCGTCCATTTGAGACCAACAAAGCACCAGCACGCCAAACTCAGAATATCATTAGAGAAGGGAGGCAGAAAAAAAAGAACAGCACCAGTATTTGAAAGCAGAAAACAAACATCTGTGATATCTCTGCATTTCAATACAAATTTCAATCTATTCTACCAGAGAGTAGTCCAAATTTCTTACCTTTCTTGTAATTCTGAAGTATGCTGTTATAAGACTCATTAGCATCATTTTCAGAAGAACAATAGTTGCATAAGTTGCATAAGCCTGAAAGACTTCATTGTCAATTAACTGGGTCAATTTAGCCATTTCTCCACTTCTGACAACCTTTAAAAAACATTAAAGTTAGGCTAACATGATAGCAATTCAAAGTTCTGACAACAAGATTGTCAGGATAGCCTTTTCTTTTTAGCATCACTGCAATGACAGCACAATTTTCCCACTGTGAAAAATTTATTTTCAAACACATTTCTTTTTCCTCAGTTTATTTTCACAATGGCATGATGTAACACTTTAAAATGAGAAATTACATTATCACTTAATATTTTGCTTCCATTAGAACTTATTAAACTGTCAAAGTATAAGCCAGCAAAATATTTAATATAGTTGCAGAAACAAAATTGTGACAGAAATCAGAACACTTTTGGAATAACACAAAGAGTTAGACCAGTTTTAAAGCAATACATTTGAACTAGTGAACTACCCTAAGCAGTCACCAGGATAGAAAAAGTGTGATGACATGCATACTATACTAGTTAAGAGAAAAATTAGTATTGCCACCCTTTTTTTTATTTTGGTAAAATGATACCACTATAACTGCACTTCAGCTTTTAGATTAACCAGTATCTTCCCACTCAGCAATAACTTGTGATCAACTTGAGTTAAATATGCATTTTTCCCCTTTGAGACCATGTTCTTAAAAATTGCTTTTAGCATGATTCACGGTCAAAGATTAAGCTGTAATGACAAAAAGCAGAGAACTATTTATGCTTCTATCATGGGAGGTTTAAGCTAATGAACTCCCTTTCCAATGAGACCATACCGAACCCACAACGCTATGGAGGTGGTACCTTTCATCAGCCCCATAAAGTTAAGAATGTGATGAGGACTGAATGCATGTAAAACAAAAAGCACATCCCCTTGCACATTCAATTTGTGCACTGCACAGAGCAAGGCTTTTGCCTCACCAAGTACTTCCATCATGCACTTAGTGAGGGGGAATCCATAATACTAGCATGTCTTAGCTTCACTCAAGACCAAAATAAATTTACTTTTTGTTAGAGTTAATTTCATTATTTTCTGTGACACCATTTTAACAACAGTAATTAAAAAGTGAATAACTTGATTACAGCTCTAACAATCTCTCATCTTGTTTTCAGCAGGGAGTCGCTGCCAGCTACAGCCAAACAAGTGAGGAGTCAAGAGCAGAAAACTCTTGCTCTGAAGGCACACCCTTGGCGGGGAGGTGGGCAGGATGGCAGTAAGCACCTGTTTGCTAAGTGAAACAAATCTAGCCTTGCATGGACCTGTCTGGCTGTGGTGATGGGATTTTGCTTCCTCTTTCATCCCTTCCAAAACAGTGCTTGGGACACCAGGCAGCACCAGGTCTTGGGATTATGAGAAAGTCAGTGTAACTTTCCTTCCCCTCACATCATAGCTCAGCAGTTCTCAAGAGAATCAGCAATTTGGCAAAGATTTTTCTCAGCGGTTTCTATAGTACATGCATAGCTTCAGACAACAAAAAGAAAGTAAATCTGTGGCTTCAGAGTGTTTTTCCTTACTGGATTTTAAAGCCATGCTGAAAATACATCCAAGAACCATGCAAAGTCATGAGAACGTGTTCACTGGTGTGGCTGTGTGCTTCACATTGGAACTACACCACTTTTATCAATTTTCCCTACTTGTAGGGTTGGGCTTTTCAAACTCTCATAAAGCCCAGGCCTTGCCTTCACCACGGAAAGATCAAAACCTTACCGAAGGCAAAGAATTCATCATTTTCATACCAGCAGAAAAGCCAAAATAAACCCCACGTACTAAAACAGAACAGGGCTTAAAGGGATATTCCTACTAAGAATACAAAGGGCACGATCTGCAAGTGCAACACCTCTCTGCGGTGTGAATGCAAAATCCGGGCCCGGTGAGTGCCGAAGCCCCGATGCCCTGTGAAGGGCCTCGAGAGGAAGATGAGTAAAGGTCCATGAGCCGCTGTGCTCTCGGGGACGGCCATGCCAGCACTGGCCCCTTGCCGCGTGTTTGTTAAAAACAAATACGACTTATCAAACTGCGGCCAATCACCTCGAGAGGCCGTGCCCCCCC